AACATAGAAGTCATATTTTCATCAATAAAATCATTTAAAGCATTCCAAAATACTTTACTACTTAAAGAACTGTCAAAGCAAATTCTGTAAAGTAAGGAATATTTTAAACTTCAGACTACTTGATCTCTAACTTGTGTTTTGTGAGTTTAGATTTTGAATCTAAACTTTCTAAAGATGAGGAAGCCAGAGAAACAGCTAAGTAGGTAAAGCAATTCCCACACAAACCTGAGTTTGATTTCCAGAACCAATACAGAAGGGGAAGAAGAGATCAACTCCACAAAGTTATTCTCTGACCTACACACACATACACCACAGCACATATGCCCACCCATGCACAGACATCTTGCACATATAGTAATAATAATATTTTTTAAACTTCCTAAAGATGAGACACACCTCCTACAAAATTATTTCCAGCACCAGATTTGCAATGGAAGGATTCTTCAGGAGATCATCATATCATTTTATCATCATATACATTTGAGTATTAAATTGTTTCTAATACATTCCAGAAGCCATGTAGAGACAATATCCATACCCTCCCACACACACTTCCTTCTAGATTAGTTCTGGTTGATGTGAAGATTCTGTCCAATGAACATGATGTCTCATTTCACAGCCTGGCCCTACCAGCTGACTGCAATGCCCTTCAACTGCACATGTCTGTGAAGACATCTTGAACAGCCCCTGGGGTGTTCTCAGGAAATTTGTGCCTCAGCTATTCCTCTAACATGATGCCAGACACATAATTTATAATGGAGAAGAAAAGTTAAGTGCAACAACATTCATTGTGCCCCATCTTCTACTAGCAAAACTTTGACTCTCTAGGCAGTATGGTGCCTGAATCCAGAGCTGATTCGTGATTGCTCCACCAGTGAGACACATCAGTCTTCTTTTGCTTTGTTAATGATTGGTCCAGGGTAGGCATGTGAGTCACCTTTAATCAATGAAGTGTGAAGAGATGCCTACTGGGGGCAGGCTGCCAGGAAAGACAATCCTTTAATTAAAGAAGAGAGATCCTTTTTCACTCCAAACTCTCCTTCCCTGTTATTTTGGCCACTATCAAGTGAGGACATGACGCTGAGGTTGTGCCATCCATCTTGCACTGTAAAAAGAGGTATCACCAACACCTGTCTGTTAATAGAACACAAACAGCATATGTCATCAGTAAAGTACTGTGCGAATTCTGGGAACTTGTACACCCAGGTAAGTGAACTACAGACATCTTTATGGTTTAAGCCACTGTTAATCTAGACCACTGCTACTTAACCAAACCCATTCCTCATACAAATCATAATGTAATCAGTCCATCAGTGTGGTACTTCACATTCTTGGAAATACTTTTACATCCATTAATCTTATCTAATCCTGCCAACAACTTGGAAAGAGATAGCATAACTACTATGATCCTTCATATTTTATGAATATAGCAACTCAAAATGTAGAAAGAACTAGTCTTGTATAAAACATCAAAAGCTAAAACTGATTCAAGACTCTGCTTCAGTCTGGGAGTTCGCTAACTACGATCCATAAGCCAAATAGATGGCTGGCAAACTAAGAATATTTTTTGCATCCTTAAACTGAAAAACAACAAAAAAAGAAAGGGCGCTGTTTCGTGACATGAACTTTTTAGTGTCCATAGTAAAGAATTGTTGGAATACAGCACGTGCCCTCTTCCTGTGTTGTCTACGAATGCACTAGTGCGATTATTATAGAACTAAGTAGCTATAGCCAACTGTTTGGGCCCACAGCCTGAAATATCTACTCTCTAGACGTTTATAGAAAACTCTTCAAGCCCCCACTTTAGCGCTGCAACATCCAAAAAAGCATTATGCTCCAATAAAAATTGTGTAGAGTGGTTAGGACAATGTATTCTACACTCCAGCATGGTGATCTAATGTTTGGTTTGCTGTTTGTCATTTTCTTTCATCCTCTATAACCTACTGACAGGAGCATAATCCCCAGACTACCCAGATAGGAGCAGGCAAATGCCTTGACTGACTGTTAATTAATCAGTCTGACTTGAATTCTTCCCTCAGTAAACACTAGAACACATCTGTTTAAAACAATGTTTTGATGAAACAGTCCCTCAATCAAAATGAAAAATCTAACATCCCAAGAAGACCAAGCAGCAGCAGCTTTTTCTTCTCTGAGATTTGCCATCATATGAATGTAAATGAATCATTCTAAATCTGGTATGAAGCCTGCAGAAGTGCTTCCAGGGAGATTGTGGGCTACCACCTTATTCAAGATAAGATTGTGCAAACCAAACAAAGCAGGTAGAGCAAGTAAATCATTTGATCTCTTAGTAAATTTCAAGTTTTAATCTTTATAACATAATAGTTAATGAGTAAAGTATTGCACTGGGTGATAAAAATATATACAAACATTTAACACTACCTACTACATTATTTTTGCTTGGTTTGGATTTTTTTGAGACAGGTCCTTGTGTAGCCCAGGATAGCTTCAGAGTACCTATGTAGCTGAGGCTAGCCTTGAACTCCTGATCCCTTGCCTTCACCTCTCAAATACTGTGATTATGGGCCATGCACCACCACACCTGGCTTCCCAGTATATATTTTGCGCTCATTAAAAATTAGTTGAGGGGAGCTGGAGAGATGACTCGGTTAGTGAGTGCTTACTACACAAGCATGAAGAGGCTCAATTAAGATCCCAGTTCCCACATAAAAAGCCAGACATGGTAGCATGTGCCTGTAATTTTAGCCCTGGGGAGGCAGACATACGCAGATCTCTAGGAGCTAGGAGGGGCTCACTGCCCAGCTATTCTGGTCAATCAGTGAGCTCCAGGTTCAGGGAGAGACCGAGTCTCAAAAAATAAAGTGGAGAGTAATTTAAAAAAAAAACCACTGATCATAAGAGTACTGTAAGAGACAGGGTTGGTCCATGAACACAGGGAAATGGGCTTTCAGGCCACTAGAAGCTTGCTTATGTGAACTTTCAGCAATGGTGGCATCATGCACAAGACCCATGCCAACTCAATCAGAAAAGAGCCCAGAGTGCAGTAACGGAAATGGGCTGGCCCTAGCCTGGAAACTGTTGGTGACTGATTACTGCTGGGTGAGGGAGAGTAGACCTTTCTTAAGATCTCTAGATAGGCTGACGGGACACTCCAGTGGATGAACTTACACCAAAGGACATTTAGGTACAAATGCTTGACCCAATAGGATTTAATGTGTATTATGGAATGCATGAGGTCCAGTGGGGGGTAGGGGGTTGTGTGGGGGCATGGACTAGGGAGGTGTGGTCTAGGTTGGATTTAGAACTGTTGTATGAAATGTACAAAAGCTCAATAAAAGTATCTAAAAAAAATACTCATTGGTTGGGTGGAGAGATGGCTCAGGAGTTAAGAGCACTAGCTCTTCATTCAGAAGACCCAGATTTGAACCCCAGCATCCACATAGAGGCTAATAACCATATATAACTCCAGTTCCAGGGGCTCCAACACCCTCTTCTGTCCACCTCGGCCACTGCACAACACAAGTGCACTTACATACATGCAGACATAGCATTCATACACATAAAATAAAAATAAATGAATAAAAAATTTTAAAAATACTCATTGGTAATCTTCTGGCCCCCACAGGCATACACACAGACATGCACATATTCCCATGCACACATGTATATATATATATATATATATATATATATATATATATATATATACAAAAAAAATTAATTGAAGTTTAAGTATATAACTTAGTTCCAGAATGCTCACCTAGCATATGTGAGACCTTGCATTTAATCCCCAACACCACAAAAATAAACAAATTAGTTGAGCCTGAACGCTCATGAATCATGAGGAAGAGTATTTTTTAACTACTTACTCATTAAAATAGAAAAAAAAATATGTATCTTTAGCAGGCAAATACTCAAAGTGGGCAATCTACTAAAATTCAACTGAAAATATTTTTCACATTTTTGTGGCTCTGGTTTAAACCACTTCATAGAATCCCTTCATATGCCTTGAAAGATACAATGACCGCTTAATTCCAGAACAAACCAACATGGTTTTGCCAGTTTATAACTCTGTATTGTTGCAAAACAGAAATAACATGCTGGTCTATAAAGATCCCTCTAAGTGTTTAAAATAAAAATTACAGTCACCAAACAACACCATCACACTAAGGTCATGAATTCTCCAAGTTGAAGTTTTGTTTCAACATTTCACAACTCCTGGTTCCATTACCTGGAGAATTCAATGTTTTTAGTTGATCTGATGCCTGGTCCAGTGATATTTATCAAGCCCTTGGAGTTGGTCTGCCAATTCATAAGACAGAAGTACACAGCAAAGGGATAAACACAAACAACTGTGTTAATTTCAGCAGCTTTCAAACCTTGCTCAAGTTGAGGAAAAGCTGCTGAATGAAAAGGGAACACACTCTCCAGACACACAAGCAAAGAGTCTAAGGCTGCATCCAACAGGCCCTACCACCCAAAAGAAAGGGAAATGCAAAATGTACAGACATTTTTTAAAAGGTGGTTGAAAATGTTCTTTTCCTCCTACATAAAAGTCTCATTTAAATGATTGTACATTCTTTGAAGGAAGTGATAGAAAACTGGTCAATGTGTTACCAAGGAAATAAAGGCTTGAAGATAGCATGAGAAATGTGTTTATAACTGAAAATGAAGGGTGGCATCATGAGAGTGTGTATTCTCACCAAGTAGTTGCACTAATTCTTAATTATGCTTTAAGATTACATGTTACAGGGCTAGAGAGATGGTTCAGCAGTTAAAAGCACTGACTGCTCTTGCAGAGGACCCAAGTTCTATTCCCAGCACCCACAGGGTGGCAAACAACTGTCCATGACTCCAGTTCCAGGGGAATCTGATGCCCTCTTCTGACCTCCACAGGCATTGCATGACACAGGTACACTTATGTACATGCAGACAATACACTCATACACACAAAATTAAATTAATAAATAAAATATTTTTAAAAGATTACATGTTGTACACCAAACATAAACTTAGACCAGACATGTTGTCTAATAAAGCCATGCAGTCTATGCGACCAGTCAAGTGAACACAGTGAGTACAGGATGCAGTAGAACACATGAACGCTACCCAAAAACACCCCCTAGGAAATAGTCACCTGGAACTATCATTCACTTATTATAGGGATGTTGATAGTTCTACATGAGGAGTTCCACTCCTGTGATCAGTATACAAGCTGTATCAGTCATCTACTACCAAAACAATGCTGTGTAACAACCACAAAAAATCCCACTGGCATACACGTGTTTATTATTCATCTACCCAGTGACCAGAGGTGGTTATCTGATGCTCTTTGCCAGGCTCATTTATATGCCTACATCAATGAGGGGAAAGGTCAAATGACTCTCAGTTATCTAAACTGACCATGGTGAAAAATGGGGCACCACTACTCTGTTTCACATGCCTCACAGTCCCCAGCAGACTAATCCAGGCATGCTCTTAGGGAATGACAGAGGTTTGAAAGAGCAGGTAGAAACATGTTAACCTCATGGATCTTGATTCAAATGGCTACACCCTCACTACCATTGCAGTCTGCTGGCCTCAGTAAGTCACAATGCCAGTTCAAATTCATGGACTGGAGGAAATAGACACCATCACTTTTAGTAAGAGGGTCTGTTATCATAGGATGAAGAACATAGTTGCAGAAAAGAATGAAGCATTAAGCCACATCCCTGCAATTCACCACCAAACTGTATACCACAAGAGCAATCTCTAAATTACTCTCTGTTGGTTTTAGCCAACCTCTTTCACTAGAGTGATTTCAGATGGTTTGATTTATGCCAGAAATTAAACCCATCCTCAAATTCGGATAGTTGTTGCCTATGGATATGTAGATGTTATCTCATAATTTTATAGGAGTCCTATAGACTGTCAGAATCTTATGAAAAGAAATGTCCACAGGGTATTTGTTGTCTATGGGACACTTATTAGGTGACTGAACAACTGTGTGTACATATTATAAAAGTGCTTCCTCCAATGACTGTCTTGATCTAGTGGACATAGATATTTTACTCCAATATGTAAGTGCTCCTGAGAGATGTATAGGCTTGGGCATGCCTGTGTATATTCACGTGTATGTATGTATGTAGGTATACATGTACATGTGTCTGTGTTTGTGTGTGTTCATATATGTACATGCATATGTGTGAGCATGTATGTGTGCAGGTATATGTACCCATATGTCTGTAGATGTATGTGTTCAGGTGTCTGCAGAGGGGTTTGTGTGTGTGTGTGTGTGTGTGTGTTTGTGTGTGTGTGTGTGTGTGTGTGTGTGTGTTGGGCCAGAGGTCAATCCTGGGTATCTTCCTTAATCATTTCTCCACTGCATTTTTTGAAATAGTATCTCTCCCTGAACCTGAAGTTTACTAACTGGCTACATTAGCTGGCCAAGCCCAGAGATCTTCCTCTCTCCACTTCCCCAGCACTGGAATTATAGATGCACAAGTGTGTGTGTTGGGCCAGAGGTCAACTTTTTAAGCATTTGATTTTACCCAGACTTCTAAAAATTCTCTTTCCATTCTTTTCACCCATTATTTTTCACATAGCAAAGTCATCCTGCAAATCTACTGTGTGCAAACCTCATGCTGCGGATGTGATGGTCTGATTTTCATTAGAGAATGACTCTGGAAAGGACAAAAGAATTAAATCAGAGTTTTATTCCTGAAAGGAAAAAGGAGTCCCACAAATTAATCTAAAAAATCCAAAATAAAATTAATAGATAACGAGACAGTCCTATTCTTGTCAAAGAAATTGCTGGAAACTATCTACCTACCCAATGTCAGGACCGAGACTGATGCCATATCTCACAGACCTTCTTAGCAAACCTGCATGATGGATCCTCTGAAAGATACCCCACAAAGGCACTTTGTGCGTTGTTAATTCTTTACATTTCTGGAAACTCAAGAAACTCCTAGCACTTCACATATGGTATGCCTGTGTAAATGATGGCCCAGGAGTGAGCTAATTGGAGGGAGGCATTAACTCTTTCAGTTCACTAGGGTTCCACTTAGAGCACTAGTAGGGTGGAAGTAATTTACCAAATAGCACCCCAGTGGCCAGAAAGAATATGTACAATATAAATTATTCCCAGGGAGTAATTTATAAACTCATAAAAATCTAGTTTATTGTCTCATCTAGTCACACAGTATCCCAGAGAGGGAGGGGGAGGGAGGGAGGGAGGGAGGCAGGGGAGAAAAAAAGGAAAAAGGGAAAATGGTGGGGCTGGGGTGCTTGCAGTTACCTAAGCTCCCACAGCTAGGAGCAGGACTACCACACAAATTTTCTGATCATCCAGGAAGACTTCTTCCCAGTTAGGATTTGATGCTTTCAAGATGAAGTTTCAGCTAAAAGAGCTGGGACTGGGTAAAGTTAGAGAAGCCCTGAAATGCAAAAGAACCCTCATCCTGGCCTTGATGCTCATTCAGTAAGAGATGAATCAGCTCGAAGCACTCAAGGGAAACACAGAATTCCACATTGCCATTTGTTTCTATTAAACCCATTAATGTTTATGAGGACTCCATAGTTAATTCAGTTTTTCCATCTTGAAGAAGATTAGAGAAGACCATGAGGGCGGGGGAAAGAGTAGAGAGGCTATCCTAGTGTTCTGTTGCCATAGTTGGAAATGATCAAATAGGTCATTTCTTTTATGTAAGAAGAGAGCAGTCAGGCTGAAGAGATTGCTCCATAGATAAGAGCACTGACTGCCCTTGCAGGGGACCCAGGTTCAATTGCCAGCACCTACATGGTAGCTGACAACTGTTTGTAACTCCAGTTCCAGGGGATCCGATACCTTCTGACCCCCACTGACATTGCACGACACAGGTGCACTTACATACATGCAGACAATACACTCATATACATAAAATAATAAAATATTTTTTAAAAAAGAAGAGAGCAGTCCAGACTGAAATCAACTTGCTACATAATAAGCACATGACAATTTTAGTTTAAAGATCCAAGTATTGCTCCTTATCTCACAGTCTGTTCTCCACAGTGGCAATATTCTGTGAATATCAACTGTGAATTTTAGTTCTTAAGGAAGATATTCAAAGCCTTGCAATGGGCATTAGATGCTCTGCAAAAGAATAAGGAAACGGATTGGGAGGCCAAGGCAGGAGAATGTCACAAGTTTGAGTCCGGCCTGGGCAAAACAGTAAGACTGTCTAAAAAAAAGTAAACAGATATCTTGAGTCTTCACTCAAACTCTCTCTCTCTCTCTCTCTCTCTCTCTCTCTCTCTCTCTCTCTAACTTTCTGATGCCTTCCTAGAAGTCAATCCCCAAAAACATAATGACTTTTTTTTGTCTTTTTAAGACAGGGTCTCCTTGTAGCCCCAGCTGTCTTAGAACTCACTATGTAAACCAGACTGGCCTTAAACTCACAAAGATCCATCTGCCTCTGCCTCCCAAGTGCTGGGACTAAAGGTGTGCACCACCATTCCCAGCTTAAACATAATGACTTTTTAGGAAGGAAAAAAAATGTTCTGCACTCCCTCTGCTCTACCCAGGAGCTTTACTACTCCCCAAAATGCAGCCATAAATTTATTTTAGAAAGCTTGCTCCCTGTTCAGTCTGACATCAAGCTCTGCTACCAGTAAAGATGACAGTAGATTTCTCTGAATTTTGACTCATTTCTTGCTTCAACAAATTATATTAAATCACAATTTCAAGGAAAGATGAACAACATACCCTTGTATGCTCCTCCCGTACACATTCACCGCTAAAGTGATTCCATCCCATACTTATTCACAGGGCATAAATGTACCACTTGCTCAGGGTGACTTGAATAAGTAACTCACTCTCTGCCTCTGCTTGCTTTCCTGGTGAAATGAAGTGACTGGACTAGACATGGATCCTTCAAGCTGTGAAATTTCCTAATTCCATTTTCCGTTTGCATAGACACAAAATGAACCATAATACTCCTACCTGATCAAAGCTTTATTTTAGAAAAGAGTCGTATGAGGTAATCTCAAGAACCAAAACCAAAATTAATGGATAACTAGGCAATCTGATCCTTGTCAAAGAAACTGCTGGAAATTATTGAAAACTACCTTCCCAATGTCAGAATAGATTAATTCTGAAAAATAATTTGCTCCAAAGAGTCCGTGTCGTTTCAGTGGGGTTGTGGGGGGCGGGGGCATTACAGCACCTTTTCCCTTTTCCTCCTTTCCTTTTTTTTCTTTTCTCTTTTCAAAGTGCTCTAAAGGAAAATTTATCTTTTCTTCATGAGTAATATCATTGGTTGGAAAAAAAAAAAAAAAAAAAAAAAAAACGGCTGTTAAGAAGCAAATAAGCATGGAACAAATCCCTGCTCCATAAAGCGGCAACTTTTAAAAGGAAATTGCTAAGCCTAATGATGGATTCTGTTTCAGCCATCATGACCCAAGTTACAACACAGTCCAGGGACTCAAGTCCTGTCCTCATAGGCACAGCAGCTGCAAAAATCCCATTGAGAAATCTCCTGGGGCTCTCTGTGAATGGCCACAGGCTTACCCACCCACCCCTCCACCTCTACAGAGCTGAACAAGAATGCATGCACACTTTCCATGAGTCTCCCCTACAGACCCCTTTAAGCTAGCTTGGAATGCCCCCTCCCACCACTTCTCTGTGTGCCTACTCCATGTAAGGCTTACTTTGGGTTCCACAGCTTCATGCCACCCTGAATTAGTCTTTCTCAATTTATATTTATATTTTTCTTCCCAGCAACCTTAAGCTCTTTGGAAACTTGGGTGCAAAAGATGGCTCAGCAGTTAAAAGTGCTGGCTGTTCTTGCAGAGGACCTGGGTTTGGCTCTCAGCATCCATATGGTTTTTTTATATTATAATTCATTTTTCTTTTTATACGTGTGTTATGCCTGCATGTATGTAAGTGCACCTGTGTTGTGCAGTGCCCACAGAGGCCAGAAGAGGGAGACAGATCCCCTGGAACTGAAGTTATAGATGGTTGTTAAATGTGGCTACTGGAATTCAAACCTGGGTCTTCTGCAAGTGCAACCAGTACTTTTAACAGCTGAGCCAGCTCTCCACTCTCCCATACCACTTCTAACAACCATCTGTAACTCCAGTTCCAGAGGATCTGATGCCCTCTTCTGGCCTCTGTGGGCATTGCATAAACATGGTTTATTTTCATGCATACAAAAACACACACATACATGCATATGCATATGTATATACATGATCCTGGAACACAGTGTACCTGTTCAGACATCTTTCACTTAGAAATCCAGAGAAATCCCAATGAAGATGATATCAGTGAGATGGTTCATTAGCTGGGGATTGGGTGTTAGAACATTTGCCTTCTCTGATTCTCAGGCAGGTTTTCTAGATGAAAAGCTGAGATTTGGGGACAAGGTACAGATTTTTATGGCCTCTGCTATTGTTCCTTTTTCAGGGGACATGTTGCTACCAAGAGCTAGTGTGTTTCTGCAAGTTGCTCTCTTCCAGACATTGCAGAAGAACAGGTTCGAATATAACAAATCCTTGTGTCCTCAAGAAGATGGTACCCCAAGGCTGTGGGGCCTTGCATTTTGAGTTTCTTGGAGTGTGGCAGTTGTAGCATCTAGGCAGCCCACTCTCCTCAAGGCACTTACTGCTTGCTTCTTGCTTACCTATATTTGAGGTGCTCATTTCAGGAGGAACTTGTTCTGCTTTCATATGTATAGGGTAATCCTAGACACAAATATTCTTTCAAAATTAGAAATAGCAAGGCATCACCTCACCTCCCTTTGCTTCTTGGGCTGTACAGTCTCTGGTGTCTTGGTGTCAGCACCTTTCCTGGGTAAGTCCAGCATGCCAACCAGGCCTTGACTCCTCCAACCTCTTTCACCCTCCCAGCTCCCCCACTGCCTCTCTCCTCCTAGCCTGGGTACTGGCCCACTAATTGTCGTGGCACCCTAGTCACCAGGGTAACCTCTCAGCCCAGAGCCACCACTGCTTCCTGATCCTTTGCATCCAGACCAACCCAGTTCCTCCCTGCAGTCCCCAGGAGCCCTCTGGGCCTGGTCCCACCCTCACCTCCCTTTATTTCCCTGGGCTGCACAGCCTCCAGGCATACTAGAGCCAGAACCTTTCCTGGTCCCCAGGAGCACTCTGGGCCTGGTCCCACCCTCACCTCCCTTTGCTTCCCTGAGCTGTACAACCTCCGTTGTCCTGGTACCAGCACCTTTCCTGGGTAAGTCCAGCGGTGCCCACCATGCCTTGACTCCCCCAGTTTCATTCACTCTCCCAGCTCTCCTCCTAGCCTTGGTACTGGCCCATTTCTTGTCTTGGAACTGCAGACTGTAGGACTGACCTCTAGGCCCAGAATCCCCACTACTTCCTGATCCTTTGCATCCAGACCCAGTTCCTCCCAGTAGTGCCCAGGAGCCCTCAGGGCCACTTCCCATCCCCACCTCCCTTTGCATCCCTGGGTAGCACAGCCACCATCTTTCCTGGGTTCTCCTCCCAGGCCAGCCCAGCCCCCAGAATGCTGAGGCCAGCATCATTCCTGGAGGGATCCAGACCTTAGGAGAAAGCCTGAGAGCATCTGAGCCTCATCTCACTTGGGCCTCTGTGGTAACTCCTGAAGACAAAAGTAATTAAATCACTTCAATATAAAATCAAAAGAGAGAATGTGAAGCCTAGATCAAGAAGCTGTTCATGCCCAACAAGGAAACCACAAAGGCACGTAAAGCTTACAAAAAGAAGCAAATCTAAACTCAACAAAGGAAAGCTTGAGTCTCACTCAAGAATCAGAAACTATGAAAGAAATCCATGTCAAAGTCACAGAGAAAAAATAATAACATGAAAAACCAAAATAGTATATCCCCACCAAGTACCAATAGTCCTCTAAAGGAGTACAATGA